TATGTAGAGTGTATTATCACACATACAGAACGTAAAATAACACATACAGAAGGCAACATTACATATTCAGAACGTAAAATAACACACACAGAAGGCAACATTACACATTCAGAACGTAAAATAACACACACAGAAGGCAACATTACACATTCAGAACGTAATATTACACATACATAACGTATAAACATCATCCTCCATCAACGCTAATTGTCGTACGAGGCATCAACAAGTGAGCGCCATTTCGTCCTGCCTCTAGCTATAACCTCTGTTTGTTGGAATGTTGGGCTCTTTCCTTCAACACTTTCTTCATTGATCTTCTAAGTGTCTTCTGTCATTCCTCGTTTTCTCATGCCCTGTAGTGTACATCTTAGAGTAGTACTTGCTAATGCCTCTGCTCTCATTCTGAGCATAAGATATAACTATCCCCTTACACACTAACATTATTGATTTAATGAAAATTTGGCGTTAAAACTCTATTTATGGTATAAAGAAAAAAAAACAAAAAAAAAAACAAAACAAAACAAACAACAGCTGTTTGTTTAAATATATCCTTCATACCGCTGAATATCACAAACTAAACTTTGTCTTTAACTCATATCAGATTAATCATCTTGTAGTGTAAAAGGTTCAAACACAAAAAAAAACAGAAAAAAAAATCAAACAAAAAAACAACAACATAAAAAGAAAACAACAAAAAACAAACTGTTCAGTAATAACTATAAAAGAGATAGCATCAAAACCAAACGGATGTAAAGCTTATCAGTTGCTACCTCAATTATTACCACCCCCACCCCTTCTCCTCGCAATTCCCAGTAGGTGAATTGAAATATATTGGTTATTCATGACAAGCTTTCACAATACATAGACTTTTTAATGTAACTATCACCAATATTTACCAAAGTGAATTATTTTGTTTGTTCATGGGACTAGAGAAACGGGTTGTTATTATTTGTGCCAACCCTCTAACACAACCATACCACTTCTCACAAAACAATAGAACGTGGTTGGTGGTATGAAAACAAAAACCTAGCACCTAAGTTTGAAACTCGTTTATCTACCCTGTTCCGGCGACCACTTCCATATGCCCGTGACTAACATACCCAAAGTTTTAATTCCCGATTTGGGACCACGTTCGGGCTATTCAATGATTCGGAAACCCATGTTAAAAACTTAAAATTTTCGGGGGGGGGGGGGGGGGGGGATGCGGACTAAAATTTTCGAGAGGAGGGGCGGTAGACTTTCTTGGGGAGGGGGGGGGGCAGAGCCACCCCGAAAAGATGCCTGGAAGAAGCTCTGAGCAAATAGCCAGCAACATTTCTCTAAAAAGTAAGCCCCTATTAGGGCTGGTAAGTAGGTCACCAACCAGTTCTATGGCTCATGCAGGTTTTATTGAGCTGTAGAACTGGTTGGTGACCTACTTACCAGCCCTATAGCCAGCAACATTTCTCTAAAAAGTACCCAAGCAAATCTCCTTCCCACAAGTCTCATCGTGGTTCCTTACGCCTAATTAAGCAGCTAGTAAATTAATGAATTTCACGAGCTACTGCAACCTACACTAAACGACGTTGTGATGGCGTTTATCGCAGTGTACTCATTAGCAGTAGAATTAATGGCAGTGTGCTGACCTGAGGTAAAAGTCCCGACAACTTTATGGACTGGCGAGCTAAGGCTTATGTAGGAAGTTTAAATAGTAGTAAAACTAAACAGAAAAACTTACATTAACCTATTGAGACACGGTTCTTCAAATGACTGACTAAGGGTTATTAATCCATTCTATGACTACGACTGACCAATGACAGTTAATCCATCCCTATCACCACGACTAATGACAGTGACAGTTAATCCATTCTATGACCACCACTGACCAATGGCAGTTAATCCATCTCTATGACCACTACTAACCAGAAGGCAGTTAATCCGTCTCTATGACTACGACTGACCAATGGCAGTTAATCCAATTCTTTGACCACCTCTGACCAATGTCAGTTATTCCATCTCTCTCATTACAACCTAAGGTTAGTTAATCCGTCTCTACGACCAGGACTGACCAATGGTAGTTAATCCGTCTGTATGACCAGGACTGACCAGTGGCATTTAATCCGTCTCTACGACCAGGACTGACCAATGGTAGTTAGTCCGTCTGTATGACTATATCTGTTGTAAATTGAGTGTTTACCAGTACAAACGTATTATCTCAACCGCTAATCAAAAACAATTAACTCATCTCTTCCTGTTTTACGATTTAATTGATGATTACAAATCGGCAGTAAAGCAGGGGTGTGGGGGGTGTGTGGGTGTGTGTGGAGGTACTTTGGAGCCAACAGTAAAGTCGAATCGGTTCATCAACGTCATCACAAATAGGTGGTGGCGTTGTCGTAAAAACTAATTGGATTGGTTTACATGGTCTACACGCTGTCTTTAAACTTTGGGGAGGGGTGTTTTATGGGGGGGGGGGGGAGTTTGAAACAGGAGGGGGACGGGTGTATTAGAGCTTGCGTGATAGGGGCGAACCCTAGGGCGTGGTACATGAGATCATGACGTTGGTTATGGCTACACCCCTTGGGGGCGCGGATACATCAACGTAAAATCCTAATGAAACCGTCCCAAATTTTTTGGTAAATGTTTTGTTTCGGGGTAATTACTCCACAGATTAGCGCATCGTTCCAAGTTTTAAACATGCAACATTTAGTTAAGAGAGCATCTCCCGTTGGTTGAGATTTTCCAGACATCCATACAGTATCAGTCCAAGTTCTCATATTTATTTTTTTAAACTATATTGCTGGCTGGTCAGATAAGACGCTTTAGCTCACGGGTTTTACACCCATCTCTCCGTGTGGAGTAATACAACAAAACACACATACGCGATGCTAGTGGTGTTTTGTAATTGTCTATTGAATATCTTTAATTAATGAATTGTCGACTGAAAATTTGTATTGAATATCGTTAATTAATAAGCTATTGACTGAAATTTTGCAGTGAATTTTTAAAATTAATGAACTATTGACTGAAAATTTGTATTGAATATCGTTCATTAATAAGCTGTTGACTTAAATTTTGTATTGAATAACAATAATATAAAGATCTTTTATCTGGAGAGTAGCATTCAATATTTTTACAAGACAAACAGTTTTATTGTTCCTTAACAAGCTACTTCGTTTCCAAACCATTTTTTATTTGTTGATTTAGACAAACAGTAATACAGGAAAATGGTCAAGTTAAAAATATTATAGCAGAGAAAAAATCAGATGAAGATAAAATAACCACTACACTTTATCTAAAACTACCACAAAAAGCCCACCAAAACCAAATCGTATAATGCCCATGATACATGTAGAAAAAACCTGACCCTGTGGCAGACCACGTTATCTCTCTCGCAACTTTTTAAACAGCATCGAGTTTATCGCTTAGACGAGAGAAATATCAGGGGTAAAAATTTGTTTTACATGTGTACAAATAATGTTTTACTGGTGAGAAAAATCGTTTTACTGATCGAATCGTGTAGAGGAAAAATGTCTAGGAAAAAAATGTAGGGCCATGAAACTTACTTATTTAGTTTAGATCAAATGTGTGACAATGTTTCTTGTGTTAGATGTGCCATGATAATTTGCTGAACAAAATAGCCACATATAGTCACACATCTAGTTCTAGTGATACAAATAACTAGTCAAACCTAGCTGTAACGGTACTCAAGTTATCGTGTTCACAGACACACATACAAACGCACACACACAAAAACATACGGACAGAACAGCAAAGCCCAGTTTTTCCGACTGGATTACGCATAGAACACCAAAATTTTGATAAATCTGCATTTATAATTTATGCTCGATTAAAAGAAGTCCTCTATCATCCATATATGATGAAGCACTGACGTGTAAAACTATGAAAACTCAAAATTTCATGTGATTTTTGTGCCCAATTACATTACTTCCTCTATACGAGAAAGTAAAAAAGAACCGTATATTGGCGTCAGGTTGTCTGAGCGAACGTACAAGAGAACATCATTTAATTCACATCTCGGCTTAAAAAGCGGGGTGGCACCCACATTAACAGTGGATAAAAAATAATCTGTTTTGTCTGAATAATGCCCTGTCCATTTCTATGCTGTGAAAAAATTAATTTGTCGTTGTGTATTTTAAGCGAGCTATCGGTTGTTACAAGCAGCTATAATAATAAAAAAAAAACGGTCAGGAAATTGTAGTTATATTTCGCATGACGGAATCTAGAGAATGATCAAGGAAATGTCACTCTGGTGATGTTAGAAGCTCATCCATGATTACGCCCCTTTAGGGTGGATCAGAGGTAGGGGGGATGGGTGTGATGTGGGTGGGGAGAAAACAGGAGTTATAGGAGATTAATATCACTCTCATATTTTATTCAATGGTAACAGAAATATTTATGATGTCTGAAAATGGGACAAACACACAACTTCACTTCGTTAATTACTGTTGTATTGAAGTGATTCATCGATACAGATAATTTTAACCATCGAAGTTGGTAGAGGAACAAGGGGCGTTAATAATTAATGACTTGTAGTGAACATGTAATGATGGGTAATCGATACACTAACGAGCAAGAAAGACATTGATATCACTTTTGTGTGACGTTAGTTGGGGGCATGAATGTGACGCCTCGTTGCTTGGTAGCTTGGTTTTATGCTTGTTAGGTTTTATGCTTGTTAGGTTTTATTCTGGCTGTTTTGTACTTGTTAAGATTTCTACTTTTTATGTTTTTCTGTTTTAAGCTTTAAAGTTGGTAATATATATATATATATATATATATATATATATATATATATATATATATATATATATATATATATTAACAAGCTTCAAAGGTGTTTTAGTTTTAAAAGTGTTCTGACCATAACGGTGTTTTAACTTTATGGGCGATTTTCGCATTCGAAGTTTATTGTTGGGTGTTCCGAAGTAAATCTTTTTAACTTAGAGGGGCGTTTAAGTAATGTTTACCAAAAGTCCCGAGTTCGAATCCCCTGACGGATGAGGCTCAATAGTCACATCAGGTCAGTCAAATACTCCGTCAGCCACATCAGTCAAATACCGCGTGAACCACATCAGCCAAATACCCCGTCAACCACATCAGTCAAATACCCCGTCAACCACATCAGTCAAAAACCCCGTCAACCACATCAGTCAAATACCCCGTCAACCACATCAGTCAAATACCCCGTCAACCACACCAGTCAAATACCACGTCAACCACATCAGTCAAATACCCCGTCAACCACACCAGTCAAAAACCCCGCCAACCACATCAGTCAAATACCCCGTCAACCACATCAGTCAAATACCACGTCAACCACATCAGTCAAATATCCCGTCAACCACATCAGTCAAATATCCCGTCAACCACATCAGTCAAATACCCCGTCAACGACATCACACCAGTCAACCACATCAGTCAAAAACCCCGTCAACCACATCAGCCAAATACCCCGTCAAATACCCCGTCAAATACCCCGTCAAATACCCCGTCAAATACCCCGTCAAATACCCCGTCAACGACATCACACCAGTCAACCACGTCAGTCAAATACCCCGTCAAATACCCCGTCAACCACGTCAGTCAAATACCCCGTCAAATACCCCGTCAAATACCCCGTCAAATACCCCGTCAAATACCCCGTCAAATACCCCGTCAAATACCCCGTCAAATACCCCGTCAAATACCCCGTCAAATACCCCGTCAAATACCCCGTCAAATACCCCGTCAAATACCCCGTCAAATACCCCGTCAAATACCCCGTCAAATACCCCGTCAAATACCCCGTCAAATACCCCGTCAAATACCCCGTCAAATACCCCGTCAAATACCCCGTCAAATACCCCGTCAAATACCCCGTCAAATACCCCGTCAAATACCCCGTCAAATACCCCGTCAAATACCCCGTCAAATACCCCGTCAAATACCCCGTCAAATACCCCGTCAAATACCCCGTCAAATACCCCGTCAAATACCCCGTCAAATACCCCGTCAAATACCCCGTCAAATACCCCGTCAAATACCCCGTCAAATACCCCGTCAAATACCCCGTCAAATACCCCGTCAAATACCCCGTCAAATACCCCGTCAAATACCCCGTCAACGACATCACACCAGTCAACCACGTCAGTCAAATACCCCGTCAAATACCCCGTCAACCACGTCAGTCAAATACCCCGTCAAATACCCCGTCAAATACCCCGTCAAATACCCCGTCAAATACCCCGTCAAATACCCCGTCAAATACCCCGTCAAATACCCCGTCAAATACCCCGTCAAATACCCCGTCAAATACCCCGTCAAATACCCCGTCAAATACCCCATCAAATACCCCGTCAAATACCCCGTCAAATACCCCGTCAAATACCCCGTCAAATACCCCGTCAAATACCCCGTCAAATACCCCGTCAAATACCCCGTCAAATACCCCGTCAAATACCCCGTCAAATACCCCGTCAAATACCCCGTCAAATACCCCGTCAAATACCCCGTCAAATACCCCGTCAAATACCCCGTCAAATACCCCGTCAAATACCCCGTCAAATACCCCGTCAAATACCCCGTCAAATACCTCGTCAAATACCCCGTCAACCATTGTTTTTTGACTGGTGTGAAGAGTCCCCCCGATTCAATTAGCCATGTCTCACAGGCAATAACACCTTGTTTATTATATGCTTGCCAGACAAATCAATACAATCCGATCGATCGGGAAAATAAATGAATCGACGGGAAGGTGGTCGGGGCTAGAAAAGACAACACGTTAGGGTAGTATGTGTTAGGGTGTTGGGGTTAAGGTGTTAGGGTGTTGGGGTTAAGGTGTTAGGGTGTTGGGGTTAAGGTGTTAGGGTGTTGGGGTTAAGGTGTTAGGGTGTTGGGGTTAAGGTGTTAGGGTGTTGGGGTTAAGGTGTTAGGGTGTTGGGGTTAAGGTGTTAGGGTGTTGGGGTTAAGGTGTTAGGGTGTTGGGGTTAAGGTGTTAGGGTGTTGGGGTTAAGGTGTTAGGGTGTTGGGGTTAAGGTGTTAGGGTGTTGGGGTTAAGGTGTTAGGGTGTTGGGGTTAAGGTGTTAGGGTGTCGGGGTTAGGGTGTTAGGGTGTTGGGGTTAAGGTGTTAGGGTGTTAGGGTTAAGGTGTTAGGGTGTTGGAGTTAGGGTGCTAGGGTTTGGTGTTAGGGTGTTGGAATTAAGGTGTTAGAGTTAGGGTGTTAGGGTGTTGGGGTTAGGGTGTTAGGGTGTTGGGGTTAGGGTGTTAGTGTTTGGTGTTAGGGTTAGGTTTAGAGTTAAAATAATAAACTTCTAATTACTCAGAATTCAATTATATGTTCAAATGTAACTGACACCGTAATGTGTGTCTGCAACCTGCTTCTGGAGACGATAACCTTTATTAGAATGTATCAATAAAGTTAGTATAATTGTATTTCACTATATATATATATATATATATATATATATATATATATAAATTACGTCAGAGAGCCGGGGTAATCTAACATTTTTTGGATTGATAAACCGTATGATAAGATTTATCTTGCAAAAAATACATTTATTGCTTGGGATATATTAACAGGCTAGCGACGCTAGAAAATTTCCTTTTAATAAAATATCATCTCAGAAGCCGGGTTGAATTTACTTAAAATCAATATAAGAAGCTTGCTAAAATTAAAGCCTCTTAAATTGGCGTAAGATGCCTCACTAGACCCGAAGCCCCATAAAATTAAACACAGAAGCCGTCTTGTTGAAGTCTATTAAAATTAAACGTAAAGCCCTTTTGTTGAAGCCACTTAAAATAAAACTCAGAAGCCCCGCTTGTAAAAACCCCTTTAAATTAAAATTAGAAGCCCTCTTGTTGAAGCCCCTTAAAATTAAACTTAAAAGCCCCATTTGTTGAAGCCCCATAAAATTAAAATTAGAAGCCATCTCGTTGAAGCCCCTTAAAATTAAACTTAAAAGCCCCTTGTTGAAGCCCCTTAAAATTAAACTTAAAATCCCCTTGTTGAAGCCCTTTAAAATTAAACTTTAAAGCCCCATTTGTTGAAGCCCCTTAAAATTAAACTTAAAAGCCCACTTATTGAAGCCACTTTGAACCTCTCTAGTCTAAACCCACTAGATGACCATCAAATTATTCCCAAACCGTCCTGAAGGTACCAGTACACGGGAAACACGTGACCTTGTTTACAAGTCTTCCCCTGATGGCCCACGTCGATGGTGTCGTAATAAAGCGCGTGGCTGTTGTCACGTGATACGGGTAGTTGTCAGATTTTTCGGTGCTTTTATTTTACGACCACGGCCGTCTGGTCGTACGTTGAAGGATTCAAGTTATAAAAAGTAGCTTGGGAAAATTACACATTTTTTTTAGAGTTTTGTTTTAACTACACTATATTTTTCTACACTTCTACAGTTTCTTTAAACACATTTTGTTTTCTGCTTTTATCGTTTACAATTTTTCATCATTTTGTCCACACTTTTTAATAAATTTTCTTTACACTTCTACACATTTTTTTTTTGCTTGAACTTGCCACGCCTCCAAATTTTTTTTCTCATTTTTCTCCACTTTATGAAGGAGAAATTTACTTGTCTTGAAGGGGTGAAATGCAAATTGCTACCCCGAGTAACGTCGACTGAACTAGCAAAGCCAGTTTTAATATGTCGCTTTTGGAAACAATTTTTTTTTACATCTAAATTCTCCGCTATATTAAATCGAATATTTAAAGTAAAAAAAAAAAAGATATTCAGAAAGAAGTTTTCCTAAAATAATAATTGCGTTGTACCAAATTTTTGGGTCACACGTTCAAAATATTTACTCTAACAATAACAAGCCATTATTTAAAAAAAATATCAATAACTATATTTCGTATAATTATGCACTAGATATAGGAAAATAAATGTTTTTTAAAAATATACAATAGCGCACCACCATTTAAATATTCATCGTTCTTAATTTTAGTGTTGGAAGGGATCCCCTCCAACACAATTAGGTATACGTGTCAACTGGTTATGCGCCATTGAGGCCATTAACTTTAATTTCAGCAGGTTTTTCTTTTTGGATTTGCTTCCATAGCTTTTGTCCAACAAAGGACAAACTACAAGGCAGCAGTTGTTTGATTTTGGAGTTGTCTCTCCTAGAAGAGTACTGTCCCTAGCTAACGAGGATTCGAACTCGAGACTTTTTCTGCGCTTTACCAACTCGACCACTCCGACCTCAACCATTTAAATAACTATAAAGAAAAACGAAGGTCACTTCTTAAATTTAGTAAAGGGATTCAATAGATATTATAGTGACCTCTCTTGCCCCTTTCCACCCTGACTACAAACAGAGGAGGCAAGTTAAATAAAATCTTGTAAAAAAAGCTACATGTTCATCTCAAAATGCCAAGTATAAAAACTAGCAAAGATCAAATAAATCATGGAGGAATGTGCAATGACACAAATGCAGAATAGCGGTAGATTGCAGGCGTATCGATTCCATCGTCTGCGGCTGGTGTACTGGACAAGGGTGGCTACTTAGGGGGCGGGGCTGGACAAAGGGGTTCAATGATGTAACATGGCGTCAGGGAGATGTACATGTGGTGTGGGTGGATGGAGGTGGTGGCAATCATTGGGTGGGTGGATGTAGGGTGGTGGTGGCTATCATTGGGTGGGTGGATGTAGGGTGGTGGTGGCTATCATTGGGTGGGTGGATGTAGGGGGGTGGTGGCTATCATTGGGTGGGTGGATGTAGGGGGGTGGTGGCTATCATTGGGTGAGTGGATGGGGGGTGGTGGTTATCATTTGGTGGGTGGATGTAGGGGGGTGGTGGCTATCATTGGGTGGGTGGATGTAGGGGGTGGTGGCAATCATTGGGTGGGTGGATGTAGGGGGGTGGTGGCTATCATTTGGTGGGTGGATGTAGGGGGGTGGTGGCTATCATTGGGTGGGTGGATGTAGGGGGGTGGTGGCTATCATTGGGTGGGTGGATGGGGGGTGGTGGCTATCATTGGGTGGGTGGATGTAGGGGGGTGGTGGCTATCATTGGGTGGGTGGATGTAGGGGGGGTGGTGGCTATCATTGGGTGGGTGGATGGGGGGTGGGTGGGGGTGGAAATCATATTGTGGGTGGATGGGGGTGGGTGGCAATCATCGGGTGGGTGGATGGGTGGAGGAGGGTGGCAATAACTGGGTAGGGTGAATTATCAGGGTGGATAGTAAATTTAAGTGGCGATTGCTGGATGGATGGGTGGGTGGATGGACGGGTGGTAATCATTGCGTGGATGGGTGGGTGGCAGTCAAAGAGTGGATAGATTGCAATTTGGAAATCCATGGATGGCCATGCGTGTGGATACCCCAGTGTGAGGTGGGTGGATGTCTACCAGTGAAATTAATTTACCTCCGTGCAACTTGCATTAGAATAAGCACAACAGATAAATACATAGTGGGTATACAATCAGTATCGTGTCAACAACTAAACCTGAATGATTGACCCAAACAGGGCATTGTGGTCATGTCATCACACAGTATTTTGGATACATTGTTTTGCAGAAACAAGTATAAACGTTACATTACGTATTGTCATCACTCAGAAAAAACTGGTAACTTCTTCACATTGACTTTAGTACTTTAATTTACATACATCATACGTCTTGTCTCAGGCTTCCATGTAATACAACACACACACACACAACATTTAATATTATACACTAATACGGTCAACAGAGACTGAATACTCAAGGGACATAACTATGATATACACAATACAAGGGACGTAACAATAGCTAACAAGACAAACGTAATTACAAATAGATTACACATACACTCCTACCTTTAAAAAAATAATTGAATAAACGTAAAGAGTTTAAAACTTAGTTCTACGCGTTTATTATTAAGGCAGTACACATTACTAATATATTGTTAAATTTCATGTTCTAATTTAGTTTTCAAACACTGTTTAAAACATGTCTTATCTTAAATTACATTATCATCATTTAATTTCTCATTTGCAATCTAAGTTTCATGGTGGTTTAATAGTTCTTTTATTTTTTAAATGTCCTTGATCTTGTGTAAAATCTATCAAATAAATAATTATTACTGATTTAAAATGTTTAAAACAATTGAATTAATAAAAAATAAAAATAAATAAAAAGGAAAAAAAAAACGAATTGAGGACTGTATAGATATAGATGTTTGAAAGGGGAGAGTGTTTGCTTTTACGTGTCTCATTGTAATAACATTGCTTTTCCGATTGCTTAAAATTTGTATCATTTTAATTCTCTGTAATCCCAAATTCATTTCAGCTCTACTTTAAAAAAAAAAAAAATTCCCCCTCTCTCCCCCCCCCCCCCTCGTCCCCTCAGCCCACCACGCCGAGAAAAAAAAATCCCTTGAATAATCATTTAATTACACATTTGCATTTTCAGTTTCAGGTTGGTTTTTAATATTTATTTTTTCTTTATATTTAGACGTTTTGTATTAGATCTATGTATAAGTAAACCATTTTAAATGAACCAAAGCAGGCTACAAGTAAGAAAGAAATATTTCAATTGTAAATCTGTATCAGTCCTCACAAGCCGATGATGAAAACTGTAATACTAAAGCGAACACAAAACTGACGCTATAAATTACATGTCTGAGGCGAAAAAAAAAAGCGCATTAATGATTCTTGTCAAAACAAATTCATTAAAAAAATGATTAGGTATCTAAGTAGGCAATTTAATTAAAACAGGGAGATAACTTGATAGTACAGATCACTTGTATTA